CTCGGCCAGTGCCAGGCTGCAGCTCGCTTGCTTCCCTGCTCCTGGCGCTGCTGGCATGCTCTTGGGGTCCCAGACGTCCCACCGGCTCTGATTCACTCCACAGGTCGGCCGCTGGAAACATATAACAATAATAATACCGTCAGCTGATGTTTCCCTGTACGATATCTATTCTATAGAGTTGGAGACAGCACTCAGCTCCTACTTAGTGACGATCCCCTGGTCCTCACTCATGTCGCTCCTTGAGGGTGGGAGCTCGCCCAGCCACTCCTGCTGCTGCCGCCGCCGCCGCTGCTGTTGCTTCTGAGTTGCGCCCCCACTGCCGATTCGGGCACTCATTTTATAGGGCTGCGCAGCCTATTGTTCGGTCCCTGGGCCAGTCCCGTGATAGGTCCGTCTATAAATAGCCGACGTTTCCCAAGACTTCTCCACCAAAACCCGTTTCCCCATCGGTTTGACCACACTCTCTCCAGCCCACGGAGGAGGCTTCACGCACTACGCCACACACCATACCACAAGTAGACGGATGGCATGGTTGAGCGGCCGCACAGGACTCTGACATCGATGTTGAGTCATCAGGTCAGCGAGTCCCAACTTGACTCGGATTTGCATATTCCCGGAGTGCTGGCTGCATATAGGATGGCTCCTCACGCATCCACTGGCTACTCACCTTTTTTAATGTACGGGAGAGAACACAACCCCCCGATTGATGTCCAATTATGAGCCACGCCAAACAAGGCTAAATAAAACATTTCGGGAGGCTTCCAGGGAAAATTACAATTCGGGCCAATTGGCAAATGAGCGGCTGAGTGGTTCCCGTACTTCCGCACATGAGGGGGCGCCAAGGGACAGAGGCTGGTTCAGAGGTCGCAAACGGGTTTTGATTCCTTACCCGTACCCGTACCCGGCCGCACCAGGGTCGCAAATGGGTACCCATACCCGTACCCGGCCGGGTATGGGTACCCGTACGCTACCCGTACCCCTACCCTACCCGAAATGAGTGACAAACGGTTACTCACCGGTGACTCACGGCCTACCCGTACCCGTACCCGGCCGCACCAGGGTCGCAAACGGGTACCCGTACCCGTACCCGGCAGGGTACGGGTAGCCAGGTATCGGGTAGGGTACGGGTATCGGGTACCCGGTTGCGACCTCTGGGCTGGCTGCACTGTCCACAGGTACCGGTGGGAACGTCGCCCAAATTGTTTAAACCATGGAGGGGGCCGGTTGATGTGATTTCCGGTCGTTCGACCAAAGTATGTTCAGATTCGCTTGGGTCGGCGGAGTTGGTTTGTACATCCGTCACGCCTCAAGCCTTTCATCGCTCCGCTTGAGTTCGTTCCATCTCCACACTGCAGGGGCCGAGTGTCAGATGTGACCAGCGATCTGAGGTGTGTTCCGGCTGAGGTTGGTCCTCAGCGGAGTCGTGTGATCCCGTCCTCAGGTGCCGAGCGTCTAACGTCCCCCGAGTCGCCACCTGCGCCATCGCCACTGGATTCGGGAGAGGAGAACCCGTCCACCCGGCCAACAGCTCTTCGTGAGGAGCCGGGTTCGACGGGACATTTGCACCCAAAAAAGTTTTTTGGTTTGGCCATGTTTGTTTGTTGTAGTACGGAGTAAGACTGATGGCCTTAATTTAAGTTGTCTTGTGGTTGTTGTTGTTGTTTGACTTGCATCCCACTGGGATTTTTGCACACAGCGTTGGTGTACGGTGCTTTTTCTGCAATATTTTGCTGTCTTTTCTTGGATTTTTACTTTAAGATGTTTTCTTGTTCATGTTTTTGTTTTTTGTTTGTTGCGGTTGCACCCGATTCAAGAGCCGAATGGCTCACAGGGCCATACCTAATAAATGAACTTGAACTTGAACATTCCCCGCGGGACCTCCAGGGAGAGCGAGCCCACCTCCCCTGGGGGCCCGGCCACACGGACTCGATCAAAGACTCTTCAGTTTTCGTAATCCCCGTACACACACACGCTCCCACACCATCAGTCGTTTGTCGCACTCGGCAAGCCGTATCAGTTATTGGCTGTTCCTGGCCTTCGTTGTGTTTGCTGGTGTTGTCACACGGTGAGGGTAGGAGAGGTTGGTGATGGAGGGGATTCCGAGCGTTCGCGTTTTACTGCATTTTTAAAAATCCTTTATATTAAGTTCACTTGCTTGCGCGCTTACGACCGTGCAAATCTTTCGGTCGTTTTTTAACCCACTTCCCGTGATCCAATCGAGCTGACATTTTGCGCACAGACTCGTTGTGCGTGACAATTTATTTTCGTGAAAGAAAATTTCCAACATTTTCCACTTTTTAGGAAAAAAAAAATTCATATTTTATTTAAAATACCAATGTGATAAAAATGAAACTCTTACTCAAGAAAAACAGAAATGAATAATAAAATAAAACCGATGCTACGCATATAAAGGATTCATAGTGAAAAACTTTGTTTTTACGGGTTAATTTTTTCTCTTTCGTGTTGTTGTTCTGTACTTCCACCCTTTCTTCCGTTTGTTACTTTACATTTGCAGATAGTGCATGTCTATTTGTATAGGTGGGCTTGGGTATTTATTTGTTTATTGCTATTGTTGAGGCACACATGAGGGTTTTACTCACTTTGTACTCACTTATTCGCTGTGTCACTGTGTAATGCCGGCCCGAGAGAGGCACGGCGTGCGATGTATTGCCATCGCGGGCACCACGTGTATGTGGGTGCAGTGCCGGCCCTAGAGGGGCTCGGTGAGCGCTGTCTGACAGTGCTCAGTGGCACCACGCTCTGCGTGCAGTGCCGACCCCTACAGGATGGGGTGTGGGAGTGCCAGCCATGGGAATGGGATTACTAAGGTCCATGGCACTCTGGTTGACCCCGAAGGACACGTGACCGGTAAAGTCTACACAGGGGCCCCAGGTGGGGGCTCGGGGTGATCACGTGTCAGAGTCAAGATCCTGCTAGGGGATTCTAGAAGGTGGTCGTGGCCAAGGGCGGAGCCAGCCCCGCCACAGAGGTTATAAGCCGGGTCCCTGATTGGGACCGGCTGCTGTTGTTCATCCTGAAGAATCTACGTTCTACGTCCTACAAGAGTCACCAACACGTGGACCTGGGCCAGGGTCCGTCGTAGCTAATTCCGGTATAATTAGTGTAGATAGCCTGGTGGTCCACTGCCATAGGTTGTTAATGTGTTAAGGGGTAGTACCCAGTGTGTTGTTTTTAATAAATGTGTTGCCTCCAAGAAGTGCATCTGCGACTCAGTTGAACTCACTATAGATGGATGATGGCATAGCGGGATAACATTATACGATGTTTAAGTTCTTCAAGGTCCCCTTGGTGTGCTCGTGTAAGACTTTACGTTGTTTTTTTAAACCACGGAGATAAGCAACACAATCTCATGATATTAAGTCGGGAGTAGCCAAATAGCCTCATGGAGGCAGCGAAAGAGACTCATGGGGGCAGCTAAAGAGCATCATGGGGGCAGTGAAAGAGCCTCATGGGAGCAGCCAAAGAGTCTCATGGGGGCAGCCAAAGAGCCTCATGGGAGCAGCCAAAGAGTCTCATGGGGGCAGCCAAAGAGACTCATGGGGGCAGCCAAACAGCCTCATGGGGGCAACCAAAGAGTCTCATGGGGGTAGCCAAAGAGCCTCATGGGGGCAGCCAATGAGTCTCATGGGGGCAGCCAAAGAGTCTCATGGGGGCAGCCAAAAAGGCTCATGGGGGTAGCCAAAGAGACTCATGGGGGCAGCCAAAGAGACTCATGGGGGCAGCCAAAGAGACTCATGCGGGCAGTCAAAGAGCCTCATGGGGGCAGTCAAAGAGACTCATGGGGGCAGCCAAAGAGACTCATGGGGGCAGTCAAAGAGCCTCATGGGAGCAGCTAAAGAGACTCATGGGGGCAGCCAAAAAGCCTCATTGGGGCAGCCAAAGAGACTCATGGGGGCAGCGAAAGAGTCTCATGGGGGGCAGTCAAAGAGACTCATGGGGGCAGCTAAAGAGACTCATGGGGGCAACCAAAGAGACTCATGGGAGCAGCCAAAGAGCCTCATGGGGGCAGCCAAAGAGCCTCATTGGGGCAGCCAAAGAGACTCATGGGGGCAGCGAAAGAGACTCATGGGGGCAGCCAAAGAGCCTCATGGGGGCAGTCAAAGAGACTCATGGGGGCAGCCAAAGAGCCTCATGGGGGCAGCCAAAGAGACTCATGCAGCTCTGGAGGCGCTGGTTGTCGCGACCCCTCGTGTGATGCGTTACATTTCATTTCCAACTGATGTCAGAATCTGGAATAAAAACGACGATAACAGTCTTGATTTGAAGCTTTCATGACTGCAGGAATCCATACTCTTTGACTCTTTTGGTAAAGTCACGTAGGTATGACTTTACCGAAATAACCGATGAGTAACGATACCACTAATCAACTTTATGTCTGGGGTATATTCATTGTCAGACAGCCTGTAGTTGTAGATTGTAGGGGGAGATGAACAACGCGCGGTCGTGAACACGCCCTGTGGACGAGACGCACTGAGCGGGGCGCCAATCGGTGTGGAGAAGATGCGCGCTTAGAATGAGACTCAGAGGCAGAGAGAGGAACACGTGGATTAGAGGCCATAGGCCTCATCCAGCAGTAGATCGACCATGCTAGGCGTGGTTGTTCAATTGTGTGAAGGGCAGTCTCCAACTCTTATCACCCACTCTGTCTCTCTTGCTCGCCCTTTCTTAATTATGAGCTCTGAAGAAGGACAATTACCCGAAACGTCACCTATCAAACACATTTCATGTCAATGCTATACACAGGGAGTGGTTTGCTCTTCACACGACACCTTTTGGGAGTTCCCCCCCCCCTGCACCAATGACGGTCACTGATTTACACCTGTTAGCCACGCCTCCACCCTCCCCCCTCCACCTCATCCCTCCCCCCCGCCCTATACCTGTTAGCCACGCCTCCACCCCCCCCTCCACCCCCACCTCCACCCCCCTCCACCTCATCCCTCCCACCCGCCCTATACCTGTTAGCCACGCCTGGTCGCCCCTCCCACACACCTCATCCCCAGCCCCCACCTCATCCCCCCCCCCAAGCCAATTAGCAATCCACGTGATGAGGTTTAAATAGCTACGCCCGGGTCCGACCCAGTCCTGGCGGGTCTCGTTCAGGAGGCGAGAGAGCGCACAGCGGGAAGAAGGAGAAAACGAATTCGTCGAAGATGAAGGTGGTGATGATGATGTGTCGGGGATTGTTGATATTCCCAGTCGGCCTCTGTCTCGCATGCTTTCTCGGTCTCGCCGCCTGCGACGATCCGCACAAATCCGCCGGTGGAGAGAACGGCGCAACGGGGGCAGCAGCAGCAGCAGCAGCTGCAGCAGCTGAGGGTGTTCCAGCCACCGCCGCAGCCGCCTTTGTCTCTCTCCACCGATTTCCGCCGCCGTTTCTCCGCCACATTTTGGACCACAGCGCCGTTGCCGGTGGAGTTGGTGGTGGTGGTGGAGTTGGTGGTGGTGGAGTTGGTGGTGGTGGAGTTTCCACCGGGACGCGTGGGTCGCGAGTCCCCGGCGACTCCCACCACCACAACAACAACAACCACCACCACCGCCACCACGTGCGCTACATGCGCGCGCTGTACCGGCGGGAGGCGGACGAGGACGGGAGGCCGCGGGGCGGTCCCAGCGCCATCCCCAGCAACACCGCGAGACTCATCCCGCCCGCCCGGCTCGGCCGAGCCCCGGGGGACCCCGCGGCCACAGGTGAGAGATGAGGTGGGTGGGTGGGTGAGAGATGAGGAGGGTGGGTGGGTGGGTGAGAGATGAGGAGGGTGGGTGGGTGAGAAATGAGGTGGGTGGGTGAGAGATGAGGTGGGTGAGAAATGAGGTGGGTGGGTGAGAAATGAGGTGGGTGGGTGAGAAATGGGGTGGGTGGGTGAGAGATGAGGTGGGTGGGTGGATGATGAGATGGGGTGGGTGGGTGAGAAATGAGGTGGGTGGGTGAGAAATGAGGTGGGTGGGTGGGTGAGAAATGAGGTGTTGGGTGGGTGGGTGAGAAATGAGGTGGGTGGGTGGTGGTGAGAAATGAGGTGGGTGGGTGGTGGGTGAGAAATGATGTGGGTGGGTGGGTGGGTGAGAAATGAGGTGGGTGGGTGGGTGGGTGAGAAATGAGGTGGGTGGTGGGTGGGTGAGAAATGAGGGGGTGGTGGGTGGGTAGAATGGAGTGGGTGGGTGGGTGGGTGAGAATGAGGTGGGTGGTGGGTGGGTGAGAAATGAGGTGGGTGGGTGGGTGGTGAGAATGAGGTGGTGGGTGGGTGGGTGAGAAATGAGGTGGGTGGGTGGGTGGTGAGAAATGAGGTGGGTGGGTGAGAAAGAGGTGGGTGGGTGGGTGGGTGAGAAATGAGGTGGGTGGGTGGGTGGGTGAGAAATGAGGTGGGTGGGTGGGTGGGTGGTGAGAAATGGGGTGGGTGGGTGGGTGGGTGAGAAATGAGGTGGGTGGGTGGGTGAGAAATGAGGTGGGTGGGTGGGTGAGAAGGAGGTGGGTGGGTGAGAAATGAGGTGAGGTGGGTGGGTGTGTGGGTGAGGGTGGGTGTGAATGTGTGTGTGGGTGAGGGTGGGTGTGAATGTGTGTGTGGGTGTGGGTGTGTGTGGGTGGGTGTGGGTGTGTGTGGGTGTGAATGTGTGTGGGTGTGAATGTGTGTGGGTGAGGGTGGGTGTGGGGTGTGTGGGGTGTGAATGTGTGTGGGTGAGGGTGGGTGTGTGTGGGTGTGAATGTGTGTGGGTGTGAATGTGTGTGGGTGAGGGTGGGTGTGGGTGTGTGTGGGTGAGGGTGGGTGTGGGTGTGTGTGGGTGGGTGTGGGTGTGTGTGTGGGTGTGAATGTGTGTGGGTGTGTGTGGGTGTGAATGTGTGTGGGTGAGGGTGGGTGTGGGTGTGTGTGGGTGTGAATGTGTGTGGGTGAATGTGTGTGGGTGAGGGTGGGTGTGAATGTGTGTGGGTGTGAATGTGTGTGGGTGTGTGTGGGTGTGAATGTGTGTGGGTGTGAGTGGGTGTGGGTGTGGGTGTGTGTGGGTGTGAATGTGTGTGGGTGTGAATGTGTGTGGGTGATGGTGGGTGTGAATGTGTGTGGGTGAGGGTGGGTGTGAATGTGTGTGGGTGATGGTGGGTGTGAATGTGTGTGGGTGATGGTGGGTGTGAATGTGTGGGGTGATGGTGGGTGTGAATGTGTGTGGGTGATGGTGGGTGTGAATGTGTGTGGTGAGGGTGGGTGTGAATGTGTGGTGATGGTGGGTGTGAATGTGTGTGGGTGAGGGTGGGTGTGAATGTGTGTGGGTGAGGGTGGGTGTGAATGTGTGTGGGTGAGGGTGGGTGTGAATGTGTGTGGGTGAGGGTGGGTGTGAATGTGTGTGGGTGAGGGTGGGTGTGAATGTGTGTGGGTGAGGGTGGGTGTGAATGTGTGTGGGTGAGGGTGGGTGTGAACGCAGGGACCCGAGTTCGATTCCGACTCATGGCCAACACCAGTAACAATAATCTGAACCGGACTGGGGCCTCCCCTAGGTCAAGCCAGCCTCAAATGAGTACTCTGCGATGTGTCAACATCGCCACTCGAGATACAAAGGCGGCCTCGCACGACTCACCCGCCCCGCTGTACAACCCTGTGCGATAGTTCAACCCCTTGATCCCTTGCCATATTGACCCGATGCCCTATTGACCCGATGCCCTGTTGACCCTTTGACCCTTTGACCCGGGTGCGTAGCCGAGGTGGTGACCTTTGACCTGCGTGCGGTGCCGCGTGGGGAGCTGGTCCTGCGCGCTGCCCTCGTGTACCCTGGGGACGCCCACGGCCGCTCCGCGTGCTCCCTGCGGGTAACCGCCACGTTACCACGTCACCTCCCCCACCCCCCCCACCCACCACACGCGTTACCCCCCCCAGGTGTTAACCCCCATGTGTTACCTCACTTGTTGCGCCCCCCCCCTCACTAACACACGGTTACCCCCCCCCGCCCGACTTGTTACCCCCCCCCCCATGTACTCGCCCCCCACTAACAGACGTGCTACCCCCACATGCCTCACCACGTGACCTCCCCCACTAACAGACGTGCTACCCCCACATGCCTCACCACGTGACCTCCCCCACTAACAGACGTGCTACCCCCACATGCCTCACCACGTGACCTCCCCCACTAACAGACGTGCTGCCCCCACATGCCTCACCACGTGACCTCCCCCACTAACAGACGTGCTACCCCCACATGCCTCACCACGTGACCTCCCCCACTAACAGACGTGCTACCCCCACATGCCTCACCACGTAACCTCCCCCACTAACAGACGTGCTGCCCCCACATGCCTCACCACGTGACCTCCCCCACTAACAGACGTGCTACCCCCACATGCCTCACCACGTGACCTCCCCCACTAACAGACGTGCTACCCCCACATGCCTCACCACGTGACCTCCCCCACTAACAGACGTGCTACCCCCACATGCCTCGCCACGTGACCTCCCCCACTAACACACGTGCTACCCCCACATGCCTCGCCACGTGACCTCCCCCACTAACACACGTACTACCCCCACATGCCTCGCCACGTGACCTCCCCCACTAACACACGTGCTACCCCCACATGCCTCGCCACGTGACCTCCCCCACTAACACACGTGCTGCCCCCACATGCCTCACCACGTGACCTCCCCCACTAACAGACGTGCTGCCCCCACATGCCTCACCACGTGACCTCCCCCACTAACAGACGTGCTACCCCCACATGCCTCACCACGTGACCTCCCCCACTAACAGACGTGCTGCCCCCACATGCCTCACCACGTGACCTCCCCCACTAACAGACGTGCTGCCCCCACATGCCTCACCACGTGACCTCCCCCACTAACAGACGTGCTGCCCCCACATGCCTCACCACGTGACCTCCCTCGCTAACAGACGTGCTACCCCCACATGCCTCACCACGTGACCTCCCTCACTAACAGACGTGCTACCCCCACATGCCTCACCACGTGACCTCCCTCGCTAACAGACGTGCTACCCCCACATGCCTCACCACGTGACCTCCCTCGCTAACAGACGTGCTACCCCCACACATGCCTCGCCACGTGACCTCCCCCACTAACACACGTGCTACCCCCACATGCCTCGCCACGTGACCTCCCCCACTAACACACGTGCTGCCCCCACATGCCTCACCACGTGACCTCCCCCACTAACAGACGTGCTGCCCCCACATGCCTCACCACGTGACCTCCCCCACTAACAGACGTGCTACCCCCCACATGCCTCACCACGTGACCTCCCCCACTAACAGACGTGCTGCCCCCACATGCCTCACCACGTGACCTCCCTCGCTAACAGACGTGCTACCCCCACATGCCTCACCACGTGACCTCCCTCACTAACAGACGTGCTACCCCCACATGCCTCACCACGTGACCTCCCTCGCTAACAGACGTGCTACCCCCACATGCCTCACCACGTGACCTCCCTCGCTAACAGACGTGCTACCCCCACATGCCTCACCACGTGACCTCCCTCACTAACAGACGTGCTACCCCCACATGCCTTTCCACGTGACCTCCCCCACTAATGCGCGTTTTACCCCCATGTTAGCACGTAACCCTCATGCGTGTTACGTCTGCTTTCCTTCACGCGTGTGTAACCCCGCTACGAACACGTTACCACGTGTTACCCCACGTGTTACCCCACGTGTTAACCCCACTACGAACACGTTACCACGTGACTCCACGTGTTACCTCGTTACTAACAAAGTCCCCCACATGTTACCCTACGTCACTGCTCTGTGATTGGACACTGTCAGACAGAGAGGATTGGCGCTTTGAGGATACACTCCAGTTCTGTTACCCCGTTATCGCGCTTTACCGTTACCACCGTAGCAACTTCTTTACCCTGTGCTAGAAGACACGGACGAAGAGGTGGAAGCAGATGGGATCAGGGGAGGGAGCAGCAGCAGCAGTGACGCAGATGGGATCAGGGGAGGGAAGAGCTGCCTCATGAGTGGAATGGGCCAATCGTCATCCAGCATCTATGACCCACATCTGACAGATGGGGGGGGGGGGGGGGGGTCCTTACCGAAAACATTCCTGCGGAGGGAGCTGCTAGGAACGTTGGGTTGCTCGGTCAATGGCCAGGGTCAACGGCGGCGTGGTGTGTTCCGCAAATATGCCTGACTGTGAGGGCGGGCACAAGCCGGCGTGAGTAGGTTAAACGTTGAGTTTTATAAGGGCACCACGGGGTGACCAGCCCCTCTCCACCCAGCCCGACCCCTCCCATTTTTGGATGCACGACGGACGGACGGACACAATAATCCCCTGTGGGCTGGTGTAACCAGGTGGTTCCTACCAGTGTAAACATCTGTAACTGTTCACCAGCCGTGATTGGTGGAGGTGAAACCGGGCCACTGACGAGACGGCCCTCACTTGGACCACCCCTGGCGGTTTGCCCTTCCGTGCTTTCAGATGTTGCCGGGGAATTTCGTCGGAGCGGACCACGGAGCTGCGAAGCCCGCGGAAGACCCAGAGGCCAGCGGCGGTGACCCCAGCCTGGACCCGAACTTAAACCCAAACCGAGAGATGATGCCAAGGCCCAGTGCAGACCCCAGCCGGAACCCTCAACCGAAACCCAAACCTGACCTGGACTCCAACCCAGATCTTGCACAGAACCTCACCGCAAATCCGACTCCGGACTCCAACCCAGACGTTCCACCGAAACTCAACGCCGAGGCCACTCCACTCTCCAACGGGGACCTCGTCTCAGACCACGAGCTGGAGGCTCCCGCGAGGGTGTCGCTGGGCGAGTGGTTCGAGGTGGACGTCACGGGGCCCGTGTCGCGCCTCTTGAACCACCCTGGCTCTTCGTCTCCCACCACCACCTCCTCCTCCCCGCTGCCGGCGCTCCGCGTGGCTTGGAGCTGCGCGCCCGTCCCACGTCGTGCTCCCGTGCCGCCGTTTCTCCTCATATACTCGAACGACCTCCTGGGGGTGGCGGCAGCGGCGCCGCCTCCGGCAGGAGAGGAAAAGTCTGAGGAGTTGGAGCTCCCCTCGCCGGGGTTCCTCGGGGATATCCCGGGGTCCCTGGAAGGGGACCACCACGACCACCACGACCACCACCCCCGCCTGGCGTCTCGCGGGGAGCCGGGTTGGGCAAAGTGTTGACACCCTGTGGTGGAAGAAGCAGAAGAAGCTGAAGTCGTCGATGTTTAACGAGGAGAAGAAGCGGAGGAGGAAGATCGCGACGGTGACGGACACCGCCACCGCCTTGAAGCCGAGCTACCGAAGCGGGCCCTGGGCATGCAGCAAGGGCCTCTGGTGGGCCCCGTGCCCCTCCGGGACGCCGCGGAGCGCCCCCGGGGCCGACGGCTCGAGAGCGAGGCGCAGGGTGGTGCGCTCGCTGCCCAAGGGGGTCAATCCGCACGAGACCCCAAATGGGCGTCAAACCTCCTCCACCTCGTCCACCTCGTCCTCCTCATCCTCCCTGGCACCGTCACCCCAAAAGCAGCAGCAGCGGCAGCAGCAGCGGCAGCAGTGGCTGTCTGCGCGCGGCTACTCGGCCACCTACCGCCACGGCTGCCGCCTCCACAACCTGTCGGTGAACTTTGGCGACCTGGGCTGGGACCGGTGGATCATCGCGCCGCACCGCTACGAAGCGGGCTTCTGCCGCGGCGAGTGTGCGCGCGGCCTCCTGCACGCCCTGGGCGCGCCCAACCACGCCATCGTGTGCACCATCGTGGAGGAGGCCCGGCCCGGGCTGGGCGCGGGCAAGGCCTCGTGCGTGCCCTCGCACTACGGCGCCGTCAGCGTCCTCGTGCAAGAGCCTGGCGGCAGCATCGCGTACAAGCTGTACGACGGCATGACGGCGCTCGGATGCACGTGTCGGTGAAAGGGGGCGGTGGTGGTAGTGGGTGGGGGGTACGGGGGTGGGGGGTAGGGGGGTGGGTGGGCACGCGGTGAAGGTGATGGGGATGATTGGGCCGATGGTGCCGATGGGGTGATGGTGAGAGGGTGATCGGGCCGATGGGGTGATGGGGGCGATGGGTGTGCAACTTGTGTCCCCACCCACACCACCACCCCCGCAATGCTTTTATCTCCCCCAGCTCTATTACCCACTGTCTCTGTGTAGTTGATATCTTGGAAATCTGGGAAATCTGGGAAATCTGGTGAAATCTTGGGAAACCTGAAGAATATTTATGGAATTCCTGGGAAGTATGGGAAGCCTGGGATACCTGGAAAATCTGAAAAATGTGTGAAATATGGGAAACGTGAATGAATGTGTAAACCTGTTGAATCGATGAAACCTGTAAAGGCTGTGAAATCTTCCTGGATCCTGGCGTGTCCCATCGCCTAACGCACCTTGCACGCTCTCCCTCGCGCTCCCTCCCATCGCCGACCTCGCCACGACTGACCACGTGGGTTCACGCCATCGCGGCAGGGAACCTCCGTGTGGAGTCGTCGAGCGAACTGCAGAAACGGCGAAATGGCAGGAAGACAAATCGATATGAATGCGACGGGCGGGTTGGAGTCACGGCGGCGGTGGGGGGGCGGTGAGGGGCGGTGGGGGTGGGCTGTGGGGGGAGGGAACTCATATCCGCGAATATTTTTACGTCGGTGTTGATCTATCAACTAAATTTGTCGATTGTGTGCGGTTGGGCAACCCTTCCAATGTAATTACTTCCTCTCCCTCCCCTCTCCCCAAAATCTCCGCACTGTTTCGGAAATAAAAGTCGACACGTATTTATTCAGAACGCACGTGTCCGACGTTTACATTGACACGGGACTGGGGAGACAAAGGCGGTCGGGCGGTCGTTGGTGCTGGCGATGTTAAAACTACCGATACATTCTATGGGAACCTCATTTGCCAGTAAAAATATGATAATTGGTTTTTTTACCCTTCTATTTGGCAACAACTGACACCTTTTTACAATTTTACAAGGAGTCATGTTTGCATAGACCGCAATACCTGCAGTCATAATACAAACAAAAGACATAACTCTGATAATGTGCACTGTTCTTGAAGTTGACGCCAAAAGGCGCACGCGTGCGCCTTTTGGCGTCATCTGGTCCAACCCATGTGAGACTAGGCTCTCAGGAAAGCTGTCTCGGGTGTGGACCAATCAACTTCAAGGACAGTGCACATTATCAGAGTTATGTTCTTTTGTTTGTATTATGACTGCAGGTATTGCGGTCTATGCAAACATGACTCCTTGTAAAAAGGTGTCAGTTTTGTTGCCAGATAGAAGGGTAAAAAAACTATTATCATATCGACACATTTTTTGGTTATTTATTTTATCCAGGTAAGGCCCCCACCTGAGCAATGTGGCTCATTGTTCTCAGAAGCGACCCTGGATATCGCGTGATAGCTCAACGGAGTGGCTTCTCGTCATCATCATCGTCATCATCGGCGTCGTGTGGACATTCATAGCACAGCAGCCAGACACCGTGAAACCGCGCGGAGTGCGATTCGAAATGTGGAAGGGGGGAAAATCGGAGGACCCGGAGAAAAATCCACCACGGCGGAGAGAGACACCACAAACTCCAAATCTACAGCAGCAGGCGTCAAGGTCGGGGTCGAACCCACGACCTCCTGTATACCAGGCGAGGTAGTTAACATCTCCTAGCCACCGTGGCGCCCCATATTAATCGGAGCTCGCTAACGGTACGAGCACCAACACACAAACACAAAGTTCACCCGTGTAGCCTTGACAGACTGTCGGGTCAAGTGCTGCTGGCGAGCAGCACCTAATGGAGGCCAGCACGGCACACGATGAGGGGGGGAGGGGGGCGTCGGCACCACTCCCGGCCGCCTTTGTCTCCCTGGTGGCGTTGTTTACACGCGCGCACGCCATAGACGACACGGAGAGGTATTTGTGTGTGTGTGTAGCAGTAGTGGGGAGATAAAGGCGGCCGGGCGTGGCGCTGGCAACACCACCACCCCCAAGTGTGCCACAGTGCCGCTACTCTCTTAACAGCAGTTGCCCCAACAGTCTGTGCAGGCTATACGGGGGACCTTTGTCTTTGTGGATGAGTGTGTGATGATGGGGGGGGGGGGGGTAGCGGTTAGCGCTGCGCTTCTCTACCCGCGCCCCGAGTTCGAATCCTGCTCGCGGTCAACATCAGCGGCGATTATCTGAACCGATCCTGGGCCTCCCCCCCCTCCCCCCCCCCCGTTGATGAGTACCTGGTGCGATGTGTGAACATCACCACTGACAAAGTGGCGATGAGACAAAGGCGGTCCCGGCGGGGGGTGGAGGGGGGGGTCCTTGTCTTTAAATGTCTCAACAAAACGCCATCGCCACGCGGGCGCAGCCACTAGAGGGCGCCATTGTCAAGCCACGCGCAGCTTGAGTGGCGTTTCAGCGCTTTTAAATATTAAAGACGACAACGTCACACGAGATGGGGGGGGGGGTGCTGGGGTGGGGTGGTTGGTGTGTGGGCAAGCAACCACGCCCGGCCGCCTTTGTCTCCCCCCTCCCTTTCCCCGTGTTGATGTAGAGACACCGCTCCAGGTAAAAAGGCGTTTTGAGGCTGAGTCGACCTCGAGCGAGTTCCAGGGGGGCCGGTTCCAGGGCATTCGTCTCTGGTGGTGTTGGGTCGGGCGCGGCCGTGATCGGGATTCGATCTCGGGTCTCTGTTGGCAGCTTCTCTTCGAGCCCGGGGCGGCCTCGCCAAGACGCCCCGGGACGCGTTCACGGCACAATGAGGGCTGCTGCTCCATTCGGATGTGTTTGGCCGTGAGTTGTTTTGTAGTTTGTGTTGGCTGCGTGCGAGTCTATGGGTCTCTGTGCGAGCCTTCTGCGCGACTCTATGGGTCTCTGTGCGAGTCTCTGTGTGAGTCTATGGGTCTCTGTGTGAGTCTATGGGTCTCTGCATGAGTTTATGCGTGAGTCTATGGGTCTCTGCGTAAGTCTGTCTGTCTCTGCGTGAGTCTGTGCGAGTATGTGGTTCTCTGTGTGAGTCTGGGTCTCTGTGTGAGTCTCTGTGTGAGTCTGTGGGTCTCCGTGTAAGTCTCCGTGTAAGTTTCTGTGTGAGTCTATGTGCGAGTATGTGTTTGTGTTAGTCTCTGTGCGAGTCTGTAGATCTGTGATTCTACGTATCTGTGAGTTTGGGTCTCGGTGTGAGTGTATCTATGTGTGAGTCGGTGGGTCTCAGTGCGAGTCTGCGGGTCTCTGTGATTCTAAGTATCTTTGTGAGTGTGGGTCTAATTGGATCTATGTGTGAGTGGGTCTCTGTGAGTTTCTGGCTCTGCGAGTGTGTTAGTATTATGGGTCTCTCTGTAAGTGTGTGGCTCTCTGTGTGAGTCTGTGTCTCTCTGTGTGAGTCTGTGTGAGTCGATGGCTCTCTGTGTGAGTCGATGACTCTCTGTCTGAGTATGTGGCTCTCTGTGAGTGTCTGTGGTTCTCTGTGCGAGTTTGTGGGTCTCTGTGTGAGTCTGTGGCTCTCTAAATGAGTCTGTGGCTCTCTAAATGAGTATGTGGCTCTCTGTCTGAGTCTGTGGCTCTCTGTCTGAGTCTGTGGCTCTCTGTCTGAGTCTGTGGCTCTCCGTGTGAGTCTGTGGCTCTCTGTGTGATTCGATGGCTCTGTGAGTCTGTGGCTCTCCGTGCGAGTCGAGTCTGTGGCTCTCTGTGTGAGTGGCTGAGGGACCAGGAGGTGTAAAGCCGTGAGACCTCGAGGGGGAGGTGGAGGGACAGCGGGGGGGGGGGGGGTTCAGCAGGAGCCGGGAGGATGATTGGTGGATTCCAAAGTCCACACGAAGTCTTCACTCAGACCCGGAGAGGAGAGCTGCAGAGCAGAGCAAGGTAACTCATATCTTCATCATCTTCATCATCTTCATCATTATCATCTTCATCATCATCATTATCATCTTCATCATCTTCATCATCATCATCGTCGTCACCACGAAGATGGGACATCTGTGAAAAGTAACTTGATAGTTCTTCGGATTCTGAAGATGGGCATTGGGTGGACACGCACAATCATCACCATCGTCAAACAACATCTTCATCGTCAGTCATTATTTACATCACCACGAACATCATCATCATCATCATTCATTCGGGTGTATGTGCACACGTGTGTGTGCGTATGGGGAGCGGTAGTGTAGCGGTTAGCACGCTGCGCTGTGAACCTGGCGACCCGGGTTCGATTCCCGCTCACGGCCA